GGCATGTGCCACCACTGTCCGGCCTATCAATTCTTTTCAACTATGAAAACAGTATCACACAACATAGAAAATTGTCAACTTATAACAGAATCTCTTCAAGGACATATTATATATTGCTATTTTGTTTTGTTTTGTTTTTTTGTTTTGGTTTTTGGTTTTTTGGTTTTTTTTGTTGTTGTTGTTGTTGTTTTTCGAGACAGGGTTTCTATGTGTAGTTTTGGTGCCTGTGCTGGATCTCGCTCTGTAGATCAGGTTGGCCCTGAACTCACAGAGATTCGCCTGGCTCGGCCTCCTGAGTGCTGGGATCAAAGGCACGAGCCACCACCGCCGGGCCTATATTGCTGTTTTTAAAGCAAATGTTCTAAAACCAAACAAATCAGAGCAGGTAATATATAGTACTTACTTTATTGTTTTATTAACACCATCTCTTACTAATCTAAAGCATTATCAGTGAATACAAATTCAACAAATACTTAAGAATTTTCATCAAAAGGCAATCAGTTGAGCTAAAACAACTAAAAACTGAAATAAGAAAACCCAAAGGAGCCCATTATCTGCTTCATACATGCCACACCACCACACCCCACTTACAGCACAATATAGAATGATAGTTTCCTAGTACATGACCACGGTGCTGAAGGGGATAAAGATCCTAACGCCGATGAGCAAAACCACAGGGAAGTGGAAGAGCACTCAGGTGAGGCCCTACAAAGTATCACCTGTGATGAGGAAAGGAATTTGAGGGCAGATTAATTCAGACCATGTGAGATCTGTGCAGAAACAAGCTCCCCACCAGCAGCATGGTCTTCCCTGTCATTCAAAACATCTATTTACATGTCATTCTTTTTTTCTAAGTACAAAGCATTTCACTATGTGAGGGCACCCCTGAGTCCTGCTCATAGCACACCTTACCATTTGCCCACACACCTGCACCACTCTCTGTTTAATATATCGAACATTACCTAACACAGATCTCATTCCTTCCTTTTCATTCATAATGGTAATCTTTATGTTGGAATACAGTGCTCAATCACTGCTTTTCACATAGCTTTGTTTTGTTGAGGTGGTGGTTTGTTTGGAGGCAAGGTCTATCTACCTATGTAGCCCAGACTAGAGTTGAACTTTAATTTGCCTGCCTCAGCCTCCAAGTTGGAATTATAGGTAGACCAGAGCTATACATGCATTCTTTGTAACTGCAGCTTGTGTAAACACTAGATTTTGAGAGTTTTCTAACTTTTCTAAATGGCAAACTGGTCTGTACCCTGACTGTTTAATCAAGATTTGGTTGTTCCTTAATTCAGTTATGCTGTTTCACATAGCTCGATCAGGAGTGCCCAATCTTTTGACAACACACCGTCACCCTTAAAACTCACACTCAAGAAAGAACCATGCAAAGGGGGCTGCAAAGGCGACTCAGCAGGTAAGTGCAATTGTTCTTGCAGAGGACTGGAGTTCGGCTCTGGGCACCCACAGGGTGGCTCACAGCTGTCTGTAATGCCAGTTCCAGGTTTCAACACCCTCTTCAGGATCCCTCAGGCATACAAATGGTGCACAAACATACATATGCACCTTTGCACATAAATAAAATTTAAAAAACATTTTCTGTGCAACAGAATGACCAAAGAACAACAAAAAAACACACATTAAAAAAAAATCGCATACTGTCATGTCCAGACTCTGTTGGGCAGCATTTACATGGGCTGCGTGGAGCCCGCCAGCCGCAGAAGCACACACCTGCATCTAGCTCACTGACTAAAAAAGAAAGCAACAATGAAACTGCTGGGCATTACTAACTTGTGTATCACAATTTAAAGGCCATTTTTTAAGAGCTATAAATGTAACTCAATGGTCTTCTTTCCTTACCACACAGGACCTAGACCATGTGCCCTCTTCACATCCCTACAGTTTTATCCACTTCAGCATCCTCATGTCTTATAGCAATCAATCATTTAACTATTGCAAACTAGGAGACTATCACTGTACACAGAACTGTAAGGCTGGGAGTTAGAGAAAACAGTACTATGGTGTGCAAGGCCTCGGGTTCAATCCCCAGTACTACACACCCCCAAAAGTAAGTTATTTTCATTTTTGTGATAAGGTTGCAATACACCATTCTTCTATTTCAGGATATATTCCGAGCAAGAGAACGTTGATGTCAACAGGCATATATATACTTTCAACTTCATTAGAGGTCAAGTTCATCTCTAAAGCAGGTATACCACTTTAACTCTTCCACCAAGCAGTGTTGTTAATATTTCTCTTTATCCTCAACAATTCTCGACATTATCATGCTTTTTTATTTATTTATGGGGACAGCATCTCTCTATGTAGCCCTAGCTGTCCTGGAACACTCTATATCCACCAACTTCTGTCTCCCAAGTGCTGGGAACTAAGGGTATGTGCCACCACACCTGGCTTATCATACAATGATATCATGTACCATTGATATCATTGGTCTATTTTTTTTCCTAATTACTAAGTGTCACTTATGACCTTTTCAGGTTTCTTCAGGCAAAATGCGCATAAAGGTGCTGTTTTTTTATGATGGCGTCCTACTGTCCCGGCCCTGTGTTGGCTGCATGTGTTTGTAAATGCTTTCCTGCCTGCCCACTCCCATAAGTCTATGGCTGACTTTGAAATTCACAGCTACCTTCCCAGCTCCCACTATCATTGTTTCTCAGAGCTTTTTGTTTTTCCGAGATAGAGAGTCCCCTCTGTGTAGCCCTGGCTGTCCTGGGACTTGACTTGTAGACCAGGCTGGTCTTGAACTCACAGGGATTAAAGGCATGTACCACCGCCACCGCCAAGGCCACCGCCACCGCCACCGCCACCACCACCACCACCACCACCCGGATTCTCAAAGCTTTTGATCCCCTTAGCTGAAACCCAACCCAAGTAATCAAACTGAAAGTCAGAACAGTAGCTCATTTTTTTTTTTTGGTGTGGTTGGGGGGGGGTCAAGAAAGGGTTTCTCTGTGTTGTTTTGGTGGCTGTCCTGGATCTCGCTCTGTAGACCAGGCTGGCCTCGAACTCACAGATATCCGCCTGGCTCTGCCTCCCGGAGTGTTGGGATTAAAGGTGTGCACCATTGCTGCCCTGTGCTCAATTTCTTTTAAAAGCTATCTTCTTAACCACAGCAAACACACAAGACAATCTGACTTCCACATGTACCCACATGCAAGTAAGTATACACAAACAGTAAGTGTAATAAGAAAGGGGGCTGGAGAAATGGCTCAGAAGTTAAGACCACTTGCTATTGCAGAGGATCCGGGTTCAGTTCCCAATACCCACATCCAGTCGAACCACATCTACATGTAACTCCAGTTCCTGGGAACCCAACGCCCTCTTCTGGAATCCGTGGGCATCAGGTACAGCAAGAAGAGAAGATACATAATTAAGGCATAAACATGAAACTAATTTTATTAATGTAATAATAAAAAAAAAAAAAGAATTGCCTGGCGGTGGTGGTACATGCCTTTAATCCCAGCACCTGGGAGGCAGAGGCAGGCAAAGCTCTGAGTTTGAGGCCAGCCTGGTCTACAGAGGGAGTTCCAGGACAGCCAGGGATACACAGAGAAACCCTGTCTGGAAACACACACACACACATACAATCCATCCAAAAAAAAAAAAAAAGTTAAAGCCCAGACACTTTATATGAAATCTATGCGAATGTCTGAAACAAAGAACAGCGCCACTGTATTCAATGATTTAAAAATTAAAGGTACAATTCAGATTAAGCCAATGAAAAAAGACAGGATCTCACTATGTACTACGTAGCCCTGGCTGACGTCGAGCTCGCTTACCTCGAACACAAGAGACCCTGCTGACTCCTGTGTGCTAAAATTAAAGGTGTGTGCCACCACACCGGGCCACCAATACCTATTTTATTTTCTGTGGGTCTAACACAAACTAGCTCTTTACACATAAAGTTACTCAGCAGGAATGAAGTGAATGTTTGCATATCAGGGAGCGAAAGACATCCGTTCAAAAAAGTTCGCTTTGCTATGGGTATCACTATTAAATATTCTGTAAAATGAAGACGCTGAACTTAGGGTCCTTAGATTAATGTCATTTTCAGGTAAGGCATCTACAATCCAAAAGCTAAAAGAAATTCGCCAGACGAGATCCTCTTTCCTACCAAGCAAGCACTCTTTACTCCGCATCACGTGGAGTAAACCCACGGTTCAAAAACTGTCATACCTGCATTAGTTATGCATGAGCAAACTGATCTATCATAGAAAGCACAACTCCCAACCCTACATTTTTTTTCCCTTTCAACTTCCTGATTTTTTTTCCTTCTCTTATCCTCCATGAAAAACTACAGGATGAAAAAAACGCCGACTGCGTGAGTTTCGGGTTCTAATCGGGTGTTGGGCCCAAGCCTCTCGATACTGATCCAGTTCTTGGTTGTGGGATTTTTTGATTATTTACACTTTTAGTATGTCACTGCGGACCAAGCACCGGTTCTCACGGAGGCGTGGTGAACGAAGAGAGGGACACACTACTCCCTCCGCCCGCAGACCCCGGGAAAGTACTCGCGAGCCCTGGCGGGGACTCAGGAGATCGCGGGTGGGACACGTAGAGAGAGGGCTAAAAGCCGAGTACCAGGGAGTCGGGGTGGTTCACGGAGTGCCAGGGGCAAGATGCCGGGACCCAGAGGAAGGACGCGGGATCCAAGAAACTGGGGTGCGGCGCGAGATGCTAGGAGCCCGGAGTGGAAAGCGGAGAGCCGGGGGCAGGGCGCGGCATCAGGGAACCCGGGACCGGATCACCGCGAACCTGGGTTAGGTCGCAGGGAGGCGGCGCGGGAAGCTAGGGAGCCGGGACCGAATTACCAGGAACCTGGGAAAAACTAGGGAGCCCGGGCGGAACTCAGGGAGCCGGCGCGGGGAGTTCGGGGTGGCAGGCTAGGAACCTGGGGAAGAGACGGGGAAGCCTGGAGCAGGACCCCGGATCCAGGAAGCCGGGAAGCCCGGGGCAGGACGCGCCCGGCCGCTCACCTTTGCGGAGCTCCCGCTCCCACACCGTGACGATGGGCCGCGAGTGTTTGCGATGGTGGATGAGCCACAGGGACAGGGTCTGCACGCTCTGCTGCGAGTTGCTCAACTCGGACAGCTTCTTCTCCAGCGCCGCCTCAGAGAAGGCGGACATCCCTCCGAAACCACGTTCGCGCCGTCCCACGCCGTGGAGCCGAGGGGAGGAGAGTGTCGCCGCCCTCGTCGCCGCCTCGCCCCCACACCCCACCCTTCCCCACGCCCTCACCACCGCCACCCCCGAGTCCGAGGCCGGCCGCAACCTAGCAAGATGGCGCCCGGCCGGCAGTGACGTCATGCGCCGGGCCCCGCCCCTCGCGCTGCTCATCCTGGGAAAGGAGACGCCGCCGGGAGGCGGGAGTGGAAGGGAGGATCCGAGCGGAAGGGGCCGGAACTGTGCGAGGGAAGGGAAAAGGGGCGGGGCGGGGCGGGGCGGGCCTCCTGGGGCGTGGCCAGGCCTCCTGTGAGCGGTTCTGGGCTTTCTGAGTCCTTGTTTCTAGGGAAAACTGCTCTGCTACATTAATAGTGATGACAGATCTCTGAGTAGCTTTGTCCGTTGATATAAATTGGTGCAGCCACTTTGGAGGACAATATGCATGATCGATTACATTAAATACCACATAATCCTGGTGGTGACAACCGCCGAGGGTTGGGGGTCCGCATAGGTACTATATATAGTATGACCCTGTCTAAAATCAAACAGGGCTGGGGGTGTAGCTCCGCGGTACACTGCTTGCCTAGCATACATGAGGCCCTGGGCTCAAACCTCAGTTCGGTGATTAAATAAGCGAGCATACAAATGTGGGCTGTAGCTCAGTTGGGTAGCGTTCTTGCCCAGCAGGAAGTTCTGTGCGCCTTTCCCAACACAGCATTAAAAAACCTGGCCTGCTGGTGCATGCCTGCAATCCCAGCACTAGGAAAGAATCAGAAATTGGAGCCTAGCCTTGGCTACATGGCAAATTTGAGACCAGCTTAGGACAGTGAGACCCCCGTCTCAAAAAAAGGTGGGGGACTGGGGAGACGGCTCAGCTACTGAGAGTGTTTACTGCTCTTGCAGAGGACCTGATTTCAGTTCCCAGCACCCACGTAGGGCGGGTCACAACCACTTGTAACCCCAACTCCAGGGACTCCTAACACCCTTTTCTGGCCGCCTAGGCACCTGTATGCTTGCATACATGCACAACACATAAAAATAAAATAAATACTTTAAAAAAAAAAAAGCAAGAACCAATATAATTCACCCAAGGAGTCAACAAGGTTTGGCTTTTTTTTTTTTTCCAGACTCAGCTATTGCCAACTGAGTATGATTGTTACCGTTCAAGTCTATGGACACCAGTCATCACTGCTCTGTGGCCTGCTGGGCCAAGTCCTGTCCTCAGTACTTGCTTTTCCTGCTCCTCCAGGTGTGTCTTGAATTCCATCCAGAAGCCTAGGAACTGAAAGGTGCTTTGTGTCCTCAACGCTAACTGCCCATCTCCTATGAGTTACTCCTGTTTCCAATGAAGAGTGTGCAAAAGGAGGCCACAGTGTGCCACCAGAAGCACAGGGTCATGACCTTCCTAACTTCTTTGTTGTACTCAGCACACAGGTAAGGGTACCCAGACCCTGAAGGCTTAGACTACATGAGTTACAGTCACCAAGCTGTTCACCATGTGTTTATGTGTGTTGAGGGGGAGGTGTTTTCAGAGGGGGTGGGGGTGAGACAGAGTTTCTCTATGTAACAGCCCAGGCTGTCCTGGGATTGGCTTTGTAGACCAGGCTGGCCTTGAACTCACAAAAGATCCAACTGTCTTTGCCTGCTCCCTCCCCCCAGTGCTGGGATTAAAGGCCTGTGCCACTTTGCCTGGTGTGTGTGTGTGTGTGTGTGTGTGTGTGTGTGTGTGTGTGTGCATGCTTTGTGTATGTTATATATATATGTGTGTATGTTGTGTGTATGCTGTATAGGGTGTGTATGCAGCCTGTCCACACACATGCAGATGAGATCCATACTTCTGCAAAGCTCCCTGAAGAAGGAATGGGTGCTGGCTACCTCCAGGCACTTTTCTTACCCTCAGAAAGCTGGCCAGTGTTTCTGTGCAACATCTTCAACCTCAACAGCAAAGTTTATTATCAGTTGTTTTATATCAGATTCAAGACCAAGAATTCCATAAAAAAAAAAAAAGGACACACAATTCACTGAAAACTTGAGGACTATGAAAAAAATACATCCTCAGTGCTTGCGGTGACTACTGCCAACAGCAGAGCCCTGAGAGCAATGGTAATCTGCACCAGGAGCTAAAGTTCAAGCCGGTTTGTTCCTTGGAACAGTGGAACTTTGGCACAGCAGGTAAACAGCTAAACTGTGAAGCATACACATCACCACATGCACATAGTGATTTGAAAGATGGAGATAGTGGATTTGTTTGTTTGTTTTAAGGTATGAAAACAAAATTACAATTTAGCACTTTTTTATTGTTTTGTCATTTGAGATAGGATCTCATTTTGTATCTCTGGCTGTCCTGAAACATGCTACCTAAACCAGACTAGCTTTGAACTCAGAGAGAATCCGTCTATCCCTGCCTTCTGAATGCTAGATCAAAGGTGTGCACCACTGTTTTGGGATATTTGATTGCACTGTGAAACGCTGAGACTGTGTTAATAAAATTAACCTTAGATCGGGGGCAGAGCAGCAACTAGTTGACAGGAACTGACCACAAAGAGGATGAAGGGACCAGGACAGAGAGATGCACAGGAAGGAGTAGGGATTCGAGGTCTTGGGGTGAGTGCAGAGACACTTCTCTTGCTAGGTCTCGGTCAAAAAGGAAAGTCAGCTGATTGCTTCTCGGCTTCCCTGATCTAGCAAGTTTTCACTCCAACATCTGATTCCCAAGTCTTTATTGGGAAACACAACCATAGAGACTTAATTAAAACCTACATTTGGCAGCTGAGCCAATGTCAGCGGGGGTGCTGACTTCAGGACCACAGGGCACTGATGGCAGTTAAAATATTTATAGATTCAGGTGTGGCAGCTAGGCTGAGAGAAAAACAAAAAAAACAAAAACAAAAACAAAAACAAAACACCACCATACCCAGATTTTCCTTAAAGTATGTATTTTATATGAACTGAGAAGTACTTAAGTGTGACAGATGGTCTGGAAGAAAACACAATATATTCCACAGTTGAATTTGGAAAGGACCCAAGTTGGATCCTTAAACTGCTTTTATATTTTCATCCTTACCACAGTAATAAGTTTACGCGTCACTTATGTGGTATCATTAATTTAAGTGAGTCTACATATAGATGTGGCTCAGTGAAATGCGTGGGTTTGTATTATTACTGCTGTATGTGTGTATGACGTGGGGAGCAGGCACAGGTGCTGGTCAGAAAACAGGTCTGTGATGTGGCTTTCCCTCTGCCACCTTTATGTGAGTTCCAGAGATTGAACTCGGGTTGTCTGGCTTATGTGGGAAGCACCCTGACCTGCTGAGCGAGCTCACTGGACTGGTGGTTTGTTGCTACTGTTGCTGTTCCTAGAGACAGAATGTCTTGTCTGGACTGCAAGAATTCCTGTCTCAAACAAACCAAAAGCAAAGAACCATGTACTAGCTGTGCGCGCACCTTCAATCCCAGCACTCAGGAGGCAGGGGGATCTCTTTGAGTTCAAGGCCAGCCTGGTCTACAAAGGGAGTTCCAGGACAACTAGAGCTGTTACACAGAGAAACCCTGTTTTGAAAAGCCAAAAAAAGAAAAGAAAAGAAAAATGAACCATGTACTCTCAGCAGGTATCAAGTGTTTATTAATCTATTTGGTAGCCAGATGTGGTAGTGTGTGGTTCGTTTGTTTTTTTTTAAGCTTTATTTTATGTGGATTGGTGTGAAAGTGTCAGATCCCTTGAAGTGGAGTTACAGACAGCTGTGAACTGCCATGTGGATGCTGGGAATTGAACCCAGGTCCTCTGGAAGAGCAGTCAGTGCTCTTAACCACTGAGCCATCTCTCCAGCCCCATGTGTGGTTGTTATCTCAGCAGTTGGCAGGTTCAGGCCAATGTGAGCAGCATGGAGAGTTCAAGACCGGCCTGGAATTTAGAGTAAGACTCTGTGTCAAGAACAACATTTTAAATCTGACTTAAGCACAGTTTATCCCGTTTTTCATAGTGTGACATCTTGAAGCTTGGAGAGAGTTTAAGAGGGAATTCCCCTTCCACCTCTTCTGCAGTGTCCTCTCCTGCATCCACACTCTTCATTGTCTTCCTGGCCCGCCCTGCTGTTTATCCAGTTCCTTGGACCTAATTCCCAGCCCTTCACGTAGTTTAAACCTGCAGACCCTCAGAGACCCACATGGATCTTTATGCTGCTCCCTTTGCATCTCTCTTCTCGGTGTTCACCGGGGACTCCATCTGTCCATCTGCTTCCGGCAGTCCTTCCTCATCTTTACAAACCACCTTACTCCAGCCTTCCTTTCTTCCCTCCCAGTCTAACATGTGCAGTTTCTTTCCTACCCACATTGTTCAGTGACTTGTAAGCCTGGTTGAGTACTGGTGCTATTAGTTGTTTCTAATTTAATATGCGTGCTCTCTTGCCAACTAGGTTTTACTCTCAGGGAACCTTCTGTCTCTCTTGGTCCCAAGTCCGACTCATCTGTGACTGCCCTAAACCTCCAATGTAGTCTGCACTTAAGTACCTGCTTCTACTTCAGCCTGTTGGAACCATACTTAGAAACATGATGCCAGGGGGTAGTGGTACACACCTTTAATCCCAGCACTAGGGAGGCAGAGCCAGGTGCATCTCTGAGAGTTCAAGTCCAGCCTGGGCTACAGTACATAGCGAGATCCAGGACAGGCACCAAAACTACACAGAGAAACCCTGTCTCAAAAAAAAAAAAGAAAGAAAGAAAGAAAAAAAAGAAAAAACCCAAAAACAACAAAAAAGAAACATTGTTATTCACTGTTGTTTTCACAATATCTGTAATAATAATAATAATGATAATAATAATAATAATTATGTGTCTCATACTTATGACTTACTTTCATTTATCTCTCTCTCTCTTATTTTAGACAAGGTTTCTCTATGAAGCCCTGTTATCCTTTGAACTCACACAGATCTGCCTGCCTCTGCCCTCTGAGTGCTGAGATTAAAGGAGTGTGCTATATTTTCGTCTCATAACCACAAATTAGAAAGGAAGAGGTAAAATTATTTCTCTTCATAGAAATCTTGCTGAGTGTGGTGGTGGGTGGAA